ACTTATTGACCACGTAACTGCAAAGCCAGACGTTGCCCTCAGGGTCTTGGCCTGGACTTGCACCTGGACCGCAGTGGCCCTGGCTGTGGCTGCACCCCAGGAAGTCACACTCAGAGTCTGAGAGCTTCGCATGTGTGTGTGGTTTCCCAAAGTCGCCAGTGCTTGGGGGCCGGGACCCAGGGGGGTTAAGAGCCAAGGGCAGGTCTTCAGTGCCTTTCTCTGAAAACTGTGGTAACCCCCAAAGGGTGACCTGTCGTAAACCTCTGGCTCCCTTGGCCTTGGGGTCAAGTTCAAACTCCTGCCCACGGCGTCCCAGGCCCCTGCTGCTCCAGGCTATTCCCCCTGCCCCGCCTTGGCCGCCGCTCCTGCTGGCCCCTGACCACAGGCTCTTCCGGGCTGCATGCCTTCCCCGTGTCTGGAAGCTTCTGTCCACTTCCCTCTGCCGCTTGGTAAACCCCTGCTACTTTCTCTCCATTGGGCGGGAATGTCGTTTCCTCCAAGACGAATCCCCTCCCCTCGCACCAGCTCCTTTTCTCCATGTCCTCGTGGTGACGTGACCTACCTCGGGTGGCCCCAGTTCTCAGTGGGACAGGCCTGGCTGCCTGACCCCCACAGTTGTGCCTCCCATATCATCACCATCTGGGCCTAATTCAGCCCTAAATCCCGGCCAAGGCCAAGGGCTGTGAAACTCGCGGTGAGCGGGTGACCCAGTGAATAAATGATCGTAAGAAGATATTTACTCCACTGCCCCTGGGAGATGGAAACTTCTAGCTGAAGAGACTACCTCAAGATGGCAGTGCTGGGAAGTGAGGTATAGAAACTGGAAAACTAAGGGGGGGGGGGCCCAGCCCCAGCAAAGTGTGTATCCGTGAGAAAATCATTGCAAAGCCGACACTGAATGCTCGTTGCATGCCTGCCATGGTGACTCATTCCATTCCCTACAGCAAGCTTTGGAGGGAGTAGAATTATTGATCTTCGTTTTGCAGATGAGGAAACTGGGGCAGGGAGGGAAAGTCACTTGTCCAAGGAAGTTACAGGGGCAGGATCCGAAATGCACGCTTCGCTACCGCCCTGAACGGCCCACGGGCTGGCGGTACCTGATGTGCTCTGGTGTCACGGTGTGAGTTATGCCGAAGGCACTCATTATGAAAAGATACGTTATTCGCTTCATGTTTACAAAGCCCTTCCCCAGACAGGACCTCATGGATGCTGGGAGGTAGCCAGGGATCAGTGTCCTTGTCCCCAGACCCACAGTCCAGAGGAGGCACATGCCTAGCCTGGGATCACACAGTTTACCGTTTCTAGAGCAAGTCACCAGGTCCCCTAAGGACTGAGCCACTGCAAAGACAAACCCCAACCTAGGGAGGAGCTTGGGGAGGATGTTTTTGCTCAGGGTCCCCGGTGAAAGAAAATTTAAAAGGACAGGTTTGCAAGGTGAGCAAGGCCTGTCTGTAGATGTGTTGCCTCCCACCCACCCAATGCTTTTTAGCAAGTGTGCGCTGGGCAGCTGCCATGTCCCAGGCACTACGCTGGGCTCTGGGGCTGGAGAGGTAAGCCTGCTCTCCCAAAGCATGTAGGGGAGACAGACGCAGGTGCAGACAATGGCAACTGGACCGCTGACTGCTACAGCAGGGGGCAGCCTGGAGAGTAACAAGGAGGTTCACAGAGAGAGATGAAAAATCACGATCTTAAAGACGTCAGCATTAGGTTATCATTTCGGAGCTGAGACCATGGCATGCTGGGTGCTCTGCCAGCCTCTCTGCCCAGCAGTGTGAGTAGAGCGACCCCTGGTGGCGGTCACAAGAATATTTTCATTGTTCAGCGAGTTCAGGCAGCCCCTCCCTCCTGGTCACTGCATGCGTTTGTGCAGAAATGCTCATGTCACGTTGGTCACCCACTCCGGCAGCAAGCGAGGGCATTAAAAAACACAGTGTCAAAAAATAGAAACATGGGCAAAACCCACAAATGTACAAATAATATAAAGGAAATACACATGGCCAGTCATCTTACACAAAAAGGTCAGTTCCAGTCCCATTACTTACAAAGTCGTTACTAATAAGCAAAGTCTCAAGGTTCCATTTTACTCTGTGTATTTCCCAACTACTAAAAGTGCTTCAGCGCTATTTATGGTTGGTAAAAATTGGAAACAATCTAAATGTCCGATACAGGGGAACCGATGTGGTAAGTTAAGGTGTTCCTTACGTCAGACGTTATAAGGCAGAAGAATCAGTGAGGAAATGATCCTTCGATAACATCAAAGGAAAAACACAAACAGCAAAAACTAACATTTTGTAGACAAAGGCTTTGGAAGAATTAAAATGTCTATGCATTGAAAAAAAGCCCAGAAGGATATATTCTAACACAAGAATAATGTTTGTGTCTGTATATCGCTGAATTCCTTGCTTTCTTCCTTTTGCGTATCTTTCAAAATAATTGCATGTTAAAGCTAAAAGCCATACTAAGCTACGTGCAGATGCTCCCATGGGTGGAAGGATTGACAAGACAAAGCGGAGAGGTGAGGGAAGGGGGAGAGCCCTGAGCGCTGGTCTTGTTCTCCCGCTGTGTGCGCTGTGTGGCCTTGGACAGCTCACTCTCCCTCTCTGAGTGTTGATTCCATCACTTGTGAAATGAAGGCGGTACAGCATCGTCTTCTCGGATGCTCCCCCACCCTGCTGGGTGGCACCGCCTCGAGGCAGGGGTCTGTGCGTGTTTCCCCTATGGCCGTGTCCCCAGTTCCACAACAGGACTTGCCACATTGTAGCTGCTCAGACAGTATTTGTTAAACTGAACTGAGCTCAAGTTGGGTATTAGAACGAAATCCAAACAGAAATAAACAGTGGAGCCACGGTGGCTTTTGACACGGCCCTGCCCGCCTCCGCTTTGCCACCCGTTCCTTCCTCTCCTTCCACGTCCTCTCTTGCTGCTGTCACTTGGAATTCCCGTCTCTCCCTTTCTCCATCCTGTTCCCTCTGTCTGCCTTCTTTTTTGTTTGCTCTGTCTTCTTTTCTCTTCTGCTTTCTCTCTCTCCTTCATTTCCTCTTTTCCACCTCGTTCCAATGGTGATTTTTGAGCCGCTGACAAAAATGTTGACTTCTGATCACGGGAAAACCAAATGGATAAGAACACAAGGCAATGCACAGGGCTGTGAGCTGGCGGCACCGCGGAGGGTCGGTCAGGCCTGGGCAGGTCCGGCCGAATGGCCGCTCTGGTTTTAGCTGGTCCGAGCTGAGGCCCAGCTTGGTGCTTGTTAAAAGCTTCTGGGCGATTCTAAGGTGTGGCCGGGGTTGAGATCCCTGGTCTGGGAGGAAAGCTGGACATGACACAAAGCATCGCACAGATTCTTGGGTGTGAGGAGGAGAAGCTGTGAGGGAGGGCGTGGGGCTAGTTTGTGGGGGAACAGGGCAGGCCTCACTAGGGACTTGGCCTTTCAGATGAGCCCGAGGGGAGCAAGTTAGCTGGGCCGAGGGAGCAGAAAGAGAGGTGCAGGAGCAGGCACTAGGGGTGCAAGGCTTTGAGGCTGGAGGGAGAGGGTCGATTCAAGAAGCAGAGACGGGGGTGTGGGTAGTGAGGCCAGACAGGCTGGGGTGGGGTTTCTCTTTCAGCACAGGGGGAGGCATGGAGGGGCTGGACACAGGGGGGAATCTGCATCGTTTCCATGTCAGTGGGCTTGCTGGGGGGCTGAGGGAGGG